ACACGGCGGCCTCGTCACGACCCTCACGGGCGGGCAGGCTAAGAACACATAGGTGGCACAGTCTATCTCACAGCCTACATCTGGCAGACAGTGCACCCGACCCTTCGACGGCGGTGATATCTCCTTCTCTCACGGAATCACAAATCTTTTGTTTGTACAACCGGCGTACAACCTGGATTTCCTGCTACCACTACTACACAGTACAAGAGGCTGGTTGAAGAGAATCTTGCAAATGTATTGTTCGACTGTCCGACATGGTCGGAAGCTCGCAACAGTCTGCTTGAGCCGCTCATCGCTGCAGCCAATGTGATCGTTGGCTCGGTGGACTCCAGTTGTGGGAGGAAAAAGGTTGCCCTACTTCTCGGTGGGAACGCGCATCCGGATCGGGAGGGAACTGAGAACTCTGTGGAAGTACGACAGAACGACACTGAGAACCGACGTGGGCTTCGGGGCACTGCTGTCTGTGCATACAACCCCATAAACCAATTATCCGAACTAACGACGGTTCCTCTCGTACTAAGTTGTTAGATTACTGGGTTTTTTTTTGCCTACCGACAATTAATTGCAGATAGATGTACCTCAGAAAACGTTCACTTAATGTCTCATACTCTACATGAATATTAAACCAATACGAAGTGCAACAACATATGTAGGACTTATTTCTACTGTCACTTAAATTATTATTATTATTATTGCCCTCCGACAATTGAAGATGTTAGCACTAATTTAAATGTCCTAAAACGTTTCACTCAATGTATACCCCTTACCATTTCTATGTTCATGCTCATACTTGTACAAATACGATATTATTGTCATGCACGTCATGATAGTACGTACCTACCAATAATGCCGAGCTTAAAACTGAAAGTATGATAACATTATTGATTGAATTCAATATTTCCTCCGTTCTCCTGTTACTTCCTTTGTGAAAATGCCAAAACCTTGTCTCTCCAAAACTCTGACAAGAAGTTCCTGTCGCTGAACCGAAATCTTGTGAACATAATCTACTACTGAAACGACATTTCTTTTAGTATATGTGATGTACCTACCAAATGCTTTGTAACAACTACACCTACCTACGCTCATAAGATACTCCATTAGATTCCTACTATTACAGTGCATCGACACTACATCCCCAAATCATTGGTGTCGATGTGTTCGGTGTCGATCTTGCTCGTTGGTCCTCCTCCGCTTCTTGTCGTCCACGTAGTGCGAGATTGTATCTTTGTAGCCTCCTTGATATGGCCACCTGCGTAGCCACCGAAACGACCTGAAGTAGCCTCTCCTTGTAGACTCCTTTCTGGGTCATCGTTCCTCCATGCCTCCCTCCTGCAGCGTGCGTCGCTAGTTCGTCGATGACTTACATCGTAAAAATATCTCCTCTTCAACTTCAAATAAAACCAATGACGATCCTCATGGTATCCTATATTATTATGCGTTCGTAAGCTTGCCAAAATACTACTGCGTTGATGTCCACTTGTATTATTGTAAAAGCTGAAATCCAACAAATAAATGCTTTGATCCATGCTACATCATCTCCGTGTTGGAACAGCTCTTTCTTCTCCGTTCATGATAACATCTTATTACGCAAGGAACGCGGCAACACGAAGGCAACCCTTTTCCAATACTACCCTAGGTGCACGAAGCGGCCCATCTTGGTTTTCTTCACAGTCCTCATCCGGGGTAGGTATACTTTTTTTTTTTTTTTTGCTCCCCGGAGAGCATGGAAAACCTATCTACCCCCACTTCGCGGTGACCCAGGTAAGTCGGTGAGACTCTCGCCTCGGTGACTCCCCGAGAAAACACTGACCCCGCATCTCTGCGGGTGTTTGTGTCAGCATCTTCGGGCTAGAGACCAGCGACTGTACGATTCAGCCGGTGATACAAGGGGACTTGGTTATTACCGCACCCCCTAAAAACCATTAACGTGCCCTCCAGTTATGCTCAGTACGTACCAACAGTCACCACTATGCTGGCACTCGAGCTACCCTACCCGTTAGGGCTTTGGTCCTCGGTGGAAGGTTGGCGACTAGGTTTCCCTAGCGCCCGGATGATGGGACGCCGTTTTCTCATCATCCATGCAAGGAACGAGGCAACACGAAGGCAACCCTTTTCCAATACCCTAGGTGCACGAAGCGGTCCATGGTGTCTTGGTTTTCTTCACAGTCCTCATCCGGGGTAGGTATACCCTCTTTCTCAACAGGCGAG